GGGATTGTTTTGGCTATTCCAGGCCTCTTGCAATTCCATATGAATTTTATAGTTACCTTGTTAATTTTTTCAAAAACATCTTGTAGGGGTTTTGACAGGGATTGTATTTCATCTGCATATCATTTGGAGATTATTGCTATTTTAATAATATTAAGTCTTTCAATCCATGAACATGTAATGATATTCCATTTATTTAGGTCCAATTGAATTTCTTTCAACAATGTTTTCTAGTTTTCAGAGTACAAATTTTGCACTCTTTTTGTTAATTTATTCCTAAGTATTTTATTCTTTTAATCTATGGTAACTGCAGTTTTTCCTTAATTTCATTTTTGGATGGTTAATTGCTGGTGTATAGAAATATAACTGATTTTGTATATTGATCTTATATCCTAAAGCCTTGCTGAATTTGTTAATTAGTTCTAATAGCTTTTTAATTGATTCCTTAGGATTTTCTAAATATAAGACCCTGTCATCTGCACATAGAAGTAGTTTTACCTCCTTTCTAATCTGTACGCCTTTTATTTTGTTTTCTTGTCCAACTGTCCTGCCCAGAACCTTTAGCACAATGTTGGATAGAAGTGTGGAGAGCTGACATCTTTGTTTTGTTCCTGAACTGACATAGACACATTGTCTTTTGCCATTAAGCATGATGTTAATGAGTTTTTCATACGCAGACTACAGTTTGAGGACATGTCTGTTTATTTCTAGTTTGTTGAGTGTTTTTATCATGAAAGGGTGTTGAATTTTGTCGAATGTTTTGTTTTGTTTCTGATTTATTAATATGACCCTGTGGCTTTGTCTTTTGTTTTATTGAAATGGTACATCAATTGATTTTCAGTAAACTAATCTTGCATTTCTGAGATAAGTCTCACTTGGTCATGGTGTATAATCCTTTTTATATGTTACTGGATTTGATTTCCTCATATTTTGTTGAGGATTTTTATCTATATTTATAAGAAATATTTGCCTGTAGTTTCTTTTCTCCTGATAGCTTATCTGGTTTTGGTTATCAGGGTATTTGGTATTTGCCTGATATGAGTTAGGAAGAGTTTGTAAAGATTTTATATTAATTCTTCCTTAAATATTTGGTCATATTCTGTTTTTAAACTTTTTTCTAGTTTTGTATTTTAAAAAATGCAATTCTGATAGCATGTCCAAATGGAAGAAAGAAGTCCACACTTGGACCCTGTAACCCTGAAGTTAATCTATGGGATGGATCTGTGATCCACAATGGTCATGTCAAAGTTTGAGTTACAGGAAAGAGACAGAAGTTGCCTAATTCATCCTTAAAATTTTTCCAAGTTAAAAAAAAAAAGTAGAGGAAAATTAATCTCGGCTTGACCTGCTGCTCCTGTACCCCAAGCTCGCTTCCATTTGTCGACCCCTTCCCATATGGGGTTCTGGTCCAGGTGGGCGCAGACCTGACAGCTGACACTGGAGATGACTGTGGCATTATCCCGCTTCCGTCAGCATCTGGAGAGGAAGGGGGTTGGGCCGAGAGGGTCTCCCGGGGCGGGGCGGAGGAGGAGGGAATGCAAAACAGAGCCTTGTCCCTGGAACCCAGGGTGCAGCAACGCCCCACCCTATAAATTCGGAGCTGCCTTGTCGCGGACGTCTCCGCATCTGTCAGCGAGTGCCCCAGGCAGTGGGCAACAGGGCGCCTGGGCTGGCGCACTGCTAGCAGCCTTTCCCGGCCCGCCGCGGCGATCGTGGGGAGAAGCACCACTGACCCGGGCGTGAGGGCTCACGGCTGGGACGCTGAGACGCCGAGCCCAAGTCCCGCACCAACGCCGCCAGCTCGCGGCCCGACGTGGGCGCAGCGCCCCGGGCGCGGGTGAGTGGATGCGGACCGCTCTCCAGGCTGGGGAGCTAGGGGGCTGCGGGGCGGGTTGGTCGGTTTATGTCACGGTGTCCTCACTGCGGGCGCTGTGCTGGGAGCCTCCCGGGGACCACTTGCGAGAGCGAGCAGCGGGAGCTGGCCCAGGTGAAGCGTCTGAATTGGGAGGGTACAATTTGCGCTTCTTTGCCACGTGTCCCCCAAATTTCTTTCCGATTTGATCAAACTCTTTCTACAAGCAAGAAATCTGCAGAAATGGGATGAAACCAAGTAAACTTTCTTCCCGAGGTTTTAAACTTACTAACTCTTGTCTTTTAACGGCGACCTGAGTGGAAAGCGGGTATGACTGTCGAACGTCCGTTTCAAAGTTGTGCTACTTTTAAGGCGAAGTTACAGTGGTCCCACACTCCCCGTCCGCTTTCCAGGCGATGCCGCTGCCCCGCTCATCTCCCCTCCCCGCAAACCATACCGATGGGTCCTGGGTACCGGGCGCCCCGACCTGGGGCAAACTCTTCCACCTTCAGATGTGCCCAGGTGCCCTTTGATTCATTAAATTGAGGAAGGGAGAAAGCATCTATCTCCACATCTTAATCCCCACAGCCTTGGCCAGTGCCTAATTTGTAACTGAGTCAGGATTTTAGGAAAAGCTCTTGCTGGCTCGTTCCCTCCACTCCACCTCTCTCTCTAGCACCGGATTCTCCAATTCTGTTAACTATCCATCCCAATCACTCCACAGTGTCTGCCTGCTCAGATCTGCGGGAGACCTCAGCAAGTCTTACCCAGCGCGTCCCCTGCCCCACTGTCTGTGGGCAGCCACAGAGACCTGGCTATTGAATCCACCTGGAGCTTCTTTACCAAATCTTGGTTTGCTGATGGCCTCATTAAGTATCAAAACCCACTACCGGCCCCCAGGAGCCCTCTCCTTTTGGCGAAAGTCCTTGGATCACTTCAGGGCCTTGGCTACATTCATTTCTAATGTCATCAGGAGAAGAGAAAGTAAAAGTGAAGGAGGCAAGAAATCTGGGGACCCTGATGTTCTGTTATAACTCTGTAGAGCAACTGTATCTCCTGCTGAAGGTGCCTTGTCCCCAACATGCTTCTCTTGGCAGGTACCCCCTAAGCGACCTGGATCCCCAGGCATTTATTCCCCTTAGCACGAGCTGTAGCCCCTTATAAAGAAACTGCCTGCTTCCCTTGTCTCCTTGTTTCCGCACCTCTACAGGCCTGGTGGATAATCCCTCCTTAGTCCAGGGGCAGGGAAGCACCAGGAACCCCCAGGACTCCTGTATGCTATTAGGACAGCTGTTTCACAACTCTGAGCCTCAAGGGCCTGCCCATAAGCTTCCCGCCCGTGATAACATTCTTTGATTCCTTTTGTTTCCTAGTTATTGCTTGGAAACACAAGTCGACAATAATTGCCCTTTTAGTCGATGTTTGGCATTTTCAGAACTGTCAAAATACCTCTCCTGGTAAATTATCTGCTCTGGAAAATCAGTAGGTTTTCCAGTGCTGGCTCCAAGTGTTGTCCTCCAAATTATGGCTGGCAGTTCCTGTAACAGCTTGCGGCTCGAGGAGTGGCCCCAACTTGCTAGGTCTCAACAGTGTTAAAGTTTCATGATTATTAGCGTCAAGTCTGCTGTCTGCTGTCTCCCCCGTTGTTTCCTGACTTCATCGGTTTTTGTGCCCATCTTGAGGCCTTGATTTCTGGTTTGACCTTAATTTAAATCAATTCCTCCATCATCCAATTCAAGAAAACTGGTGTTCTTCCACTGGTTCCATTGATGCCAAAGAAAACTCATCTTTGAGATTTATAAAGAGGCTTTCGATCATCGTTGCTATGGCAATGCTCCATATCCCGAGCTCTGAGCTTAAATCTTTCCTGTCAATCTCGAACCCTGGTTCAGTGTTCAAAAAGAACAGAACTGTGGATTGTTCAGGTTTCTTATTTTGGTTTTTTTTTTCTAGTTTGAGGTAAGAATTGTATGTGTGTGTATGATTTTGAGGTTTTTGGTTTTTTTGTGTTTCTGGGGGTTTTTTTGCTACTACCTACGCTGTTGTTATTATTACTATGACTAATTATTTACTTTATGCTAGAGGGAAAATAATGAAAGAAAATTTGATCTGCTGCTTACCCAAAGGCCAGGTAAAAACACTTAGCTGAGAAGCAGTTTGAAACGCATAGTGTAAATGCATGATGCTTGTCTCCTGTCATTTTATCTATGCTGCCACAGTGTCATTTTCAAGCAGTTGCCTGAGAGTCGCTGTATTTTGCTTTCAAATTTGTTACAGGGCCCAAGTTCGAGTCTTCCTCCCCATGCCCATTAGTTTATCTAATCCTTTTCCCACTCAGTCATGATGGGAAGATGCCAGAGAAACTCCCAAGTAGGCTAGGAAATCAAGAATTTTATCTAGAAGTTTGAAGTAAATCCAAATGTTGTGAAGATGAAAAAGTTGTCCTGAAGACACGCTGTGGCAATAAATAAATACAAAGCCAGAGCAACAAAATATGACGAAGTACCCAAGGCTGGATAAGGAACGCTTTTCTCCCATGTTTTCTCGTATACTGGACAAATCATCTTTTAAACCCATTGCCACTAAAAAGGCTTATTATTTTTCTTTGAGAAAGCTGTAAGCTTTTTCTTTCAAAATTGACTAAAGTCATTGGATTACATGGTTTGTGTTTCTTTTCATGTAGGTGCTTATTAACACAATATACTAAAACTCCCATAAGCCAAAGTAAATTTTGTTGCATCCCCAGTGTAACTTTAGCTCACTTAAAATTTTTTATTTTATTCATGATATGAATTTTTACTACAGAAAATCAGCTTTTCAATGGTTTAATATATAAAGCCATCTTAAATCAAAGAGTATCTATAGGGGTTTGAGGTAATATTGAACTGATTTGACAAGTGAGTGCCATTATCCTATTAAAGCTCTAAAGTACAATGTTTCAATCACAAAAAAAAAAATCAAAAGAGCTATGAATTTGCCAGATTTATCATTAGTTAGTGGTTACTTAATGACAAATTTGACAATTGAAAACAGAAAACAAAGTATATAGTTAGAACAGTAATGGAAATGACAAGTGAATCTTGCTGTTAGTTCTGGTTGCTATTTGATTTTGAGTCTTTCTCTTCAAAGCAGATGGTCACACAGGAAAAAATTCCCTTGAATATGAAAACTAAAATTGTCTTCCAAAATATTTTACTAACAAATAATTGGCTATATACTGTAAATACTGTATGACTACATTATTTTACATTATTCTTATAGCTCAAGTTACAAGAGTTGTTTTTTGTTTTATTTGTTTGGTTCTTAACACGGGTGCATCATCTAAATGTCTTAAGCAGAAATAAATGTCTAGAGTCTGCCAGTTACTGTTAGAGTTTCCTTCTTACAACCAACAATACTTTAAAATGTGTTGTCAGTCTCACGTTTAATTTTCTAACATTTACAAGTTTTGAAGATGGGTAAGAGATGCACATGCTTTGCTTTTTATAGTCTCATTGTGCCTTCATATTCCAAGTTCCAATTCTAGATGTATTTGCAATTTTAAATCATAGAATTAATAATCATACAGTTTGAGTGAACTTTTATGTGATTTTTTTGTTTATTTTATACACATATAAGCTGCTTTGTTCTTCACCAAATGATGTTGAAATCTTATTTAGATCAATGGATTTAAGTACTTTGGTTAATTGCAGAGTAAGAATATTGGAGAATTATACATATGGCTGTACACTCTTAAAGAGAGTGTATAATTGCTAATTTGCTCTCTAAGTTTTCTTTAGATAGTTTCCGTTTTATATTAATCAAAGCTCCTCTTATCTACTTTGGAAGCCAAAGGATTATATCTATGAAACATATTAACAATGGTAGAAGATACTTACAGAGGGAGTGCTATGGATCTGAGTGCTATTCAGCCCTGAGGACACACCAAAGTAGAAAAATGATCTTTGCCCTAGAGAGATGTTGGTCAAGCTAAGTACATATTTAGATATGGGTCTCTCTAATCATCTCAATGCCACCGTGATGGGAAGCCATGTAGAAACAACTCTCTTTCTGTCCACCTGTCAGACCAGGGGAATGTCTAATGTGGTCACATTTTTTTATTCTGGCCACTTCCATGATAATCACCACAATTTCCCCTTGCCCATGGAATTATAACTCCTTTGATAGCATGGATCACATCCCATGCATCCTTTGTTTCTATTACTAAATGCTTTGCAAGTCACTTGCTTGCCTGTTTGTTGTTTGTTTCTTTGTTTTCTGCTTGAGCTCTGAGAAATATTAAATACATTTTCAGATCCCTATATTTTAGAAGATAAGTGTTAGAAACCTTTTTCTAATCTCATTTAAGTATATTACCGTTGTAATACAATGACCTAAAATTGATGTTTTAGTCTTACTAATTGCGGAACTAAGTATTAATACCATTTTTTTTAGTCTGAAACTGTAAGGGGCAAGTAAAGGAGAGAGTAAGAAAAAGATTAAAAGGTTGAACTATCAAGTCAGTGTTTCTTAACGTGTTAGGCAACAAGTAAGGCAACCCTATTACAATCGCCTGGGGTGAGTTTTAAATCTGTACATGTTGTCTGCACTTTCCTTTCTGCCCTTTCCCCATTTCCTCTATTGAGAACCACTGTATCTATCACAAGTAGGAGTAACCATCCACAATTATCTAAGGTGTCAAGGTCCACAGATGAGCACCATGAGATCACCAAGGGGCCTGTTAAAAATGCAGACTCTCAGACCCCACCTGGACCCACTAAATAAGAATCTGCATGGTAACAAGACCTCCAGGTGATTCAAAAGCATATTAAAGTCAGAGAAACACGACAACCCATATCTTGTTCAGAATGATTACCTAGAAGATATTTTTTTGGTTTTTAATATATATTTTAAATAAAACTAACAGCACATATAACATGCCAAACACAGTGTTCAGCCTTTAAATGTGTTTTATTTAATCCTCACAACATCTCTATGAAATAGTATTCACTGCTTTCTCGTCACATTGTAGATTGGGACACGAGACAAGTAGTTTACCCAAATGGAGTAACTGGTGGAGCCAAGAATGAAACGCAGAAATTCTGATTCTTGTGCTCTTAGCTGCCACCTCACACCGTCCGCTCTACACCAGGCTGCCTGCTTTATAAGGCCAGCTCATTACTTGGGAATTTATTTAAAGATATAATTTGAAATCAAGTTCTGTTTCTCTTATGGAAAAAACAAGATCTACTCCATTTTAGTTATAACATTTGCCTGTGACCTTACCTTTATGTACGATAATGAAAAATTCTAGAAATTCCTTCTTTAGTTGGGAAATTCTAAAATGGACAGCCCATTTTTTAAAACTTAAGGCTTGATATCTACGTTTCCTCAAAACTTCACTGAAATGTACTGTTTTTACCTTTTAGTGTTTTGACGGTATAAAAATAAAGTTCTCTTGAATAAGTCATTTCCTACATACATAAACTGTTCAGCATTCCAACTCAAATGCATATCACTCTTTCAGCTTTTAATATAAACACTTCATTATCTACAAGCAATGGTTTACGAAACTGTAGTTGAATGTAGTTACTAACCAGTCGGTTTGCAAGCAAGTGGAAACTTATTTTCAGCCAGTGACTCCGGGAATGTTTCGGGCTCTGAACCGTTTCTCCCAGGGCACCTAGATTCTCGGACAGCTGTCAGTTGGACACAGCCAAATGTCTGTTGTTTTGACTGGTGCTCATTGATGTTGCTCAAAAGATTGAGGTGCATCTGGGTTCCTTGTGACCATATTTGAGAGGAGAGGTGTGTCACAGTTTTCTCAGTAATAAAGGGACATTCCTGGGAAACAGAACTTCACCAGCTGCTTGGATCTATTGATAGAACTTTAGATGTACAGGCAGAACTAACAGTGTATTGTCTAATTTGTATGTTACTTATTCCACCCAAATCAAGGGGAAGTAGTGTCCACTGCATAGGCAGGCAGTGTTTCTTAGTGCTAATAAGTGATAAAACACCAGCGATCCACTTAGGGCCCTTCAGAGTCCTGCTGGTCTCACTACGCTCAAATATTTGTGACTGTGACTGAATAGATGCACCAGGGATTTTTCTAAATAAATTTTTAAAGATTTCACAGCATTTATCCTAGTAAACTTCACACATTTACAATTTTATCATTACATTCACTTTTTTTGCACATTTTGACTGAACGTCTTCTTGTTATCCAATCAAATGCATTTTACAAGCTTCTAAATCTACATGCTATGCCCCTGGAACAAGAATGTGCCATTAGCCCAGCTCTAATAATCTCTTTCCAATCAAATGATGTCACTTCACATAAAACACATTGTACCATGATGTCTCCCAGCCCTTAACCTTCACACAATTAATCGCTGCCTCTTTATCAGGAATGGAAAAGAATCTGATGTGATTACTATGTAATGATTTCTTGAATGTGTTCTGGCATTTGATTTACTGAGTTAACAGAATGGATTTTTGAGAGAAACACAAATCTATTCCTATTCTTTTAAACTCCCATTAAGTTAAGCCACATGATGGGAATTATATAGCTATAGTATATTTATATAAATGCATATTTAATATATAATATATGTAAAATATTTAATGATGAGGCAAGGTAACCACAAGTGAATAAAGCAATGTATAAAACATAAATCATGAATGTGATCCAGTGTGTGTGCATTTGGTAGATTCTTGTCAAAGTACCATTAAGGTATTACTTGGGTGTTCTAACGAAAATAATTTAGGTATATTAGCACTGATTTGTGAGGAAAATCACTGATATATTTTTTAAATGCCTACTTATTTGTAGAATAGATAACAAAGACCAGGAAAAATATAACGGATCTTAAAAGCTCTTGAGGGTTATTAAGATCAAGGCTAAGATCAAAAGTGACTTTTTTCTTTCCTTTTTTTTCATGTGCTTTCAAGATTTCCAGTAATGAACCTCTGTTACTCTTATACTTTTTACTTTCTGTTTGTCTTGGAATTTCTATTACTTTCTTTCTAACCCTGTCTAGATTTCAGATCTGAGACAACCACTATTGACTCTCTGGAGGATGACACTGGCAAATCTGACCCTGTCTCTATTTTTTCCCCCAGTAAGGTACATTAGAGCCTTTCAAGCACCCACAGAATTCACACCATAGTGGTATTTTATAGGAGAAAGCATCCTATGGGAAATGTCTTTTGCTATAACAACAAAATCACCAAGAAATAGGGATAAAAATAGATCTTCCTAATGTCAAAATTCTATATAACAATGCTTTAGTAAAGTTGATGTATGTTATTTTTTTTAAAAAGTAACCTATATACAATCTTCCTGATTAACTCTTCAGGTTAAAAAATTTTTTACTTAAAAAACAACCAAACAAACCCCAAATCCATAATGAAATACATTGATGAATTTGGCTGCATGGGAAAAAAATGGCTATATAGTAAAAAGCACCATAAACAAAGTAGAAAGATAAACTGGAACTTGGAAAAGCTATTTGCCACACATTACATGTAAAATGCCAGTTATAGTAACATATCATGAACTCTTTAAAATAAGAAACAATGTACAACCAAATTGAAAAATGAGGAAAGTCATGGCTGGGCAAACTAGTAGATCAGTAATTACATAAAATAAGAAAGCAAAAAGAAGCCGAGTCTCATTCATAGCTAGAGAAATGCAATTCAAAATACTACATGCTTTTCACTTATCCAACTGAGAAAATAATTTAAGACTTTATAAAAGCCAGATTTTTGGTATCATAAATTGGTGTATCTTTTATAGAGGACATTTTCTAAGTATCTTTCAAAAACTTAGAGTGTACAAACAATTTGCTTCCATAATTATATTTGGAACTTATCCTACTGATATATAAGTACAAAAATGCATATGTATTAATATCATTGAGGCATTTTTTTCAAGCAGTCAAAAAGGGTAATTGAAAAAAACAAAAACAAAAACCTTAAGGCCCATTAATGGTGGGCTGGTTAAATAAGTTTTCATGTATCAGTGCAATAAATATAATGCCATATAGTCTCAAAATGAATAAGGTAGATTTATATGTAGTGATGTAAAAAGCTCTGCTGGCCATATTATTAAGTTAGAAAAAAGAAAGCAAAGAGTAAAATAGTATGATGTGTAAAATAAAAACACATGGATATACACATTTATATACAAGTCAATACATTTTGTTAAAGTCCTAGAAGGATACATAAGAAACTATTAATAGGAAGTATTTCTGAGAAGTGGATCCAAAGAGACAATTAGGGCTAGGAGACATGTGTTTTTATATTATACTCGTCTGTAACTTGACATTTATATCACATGCATGTATTACTTCTATGAAATATAAGAACAGGAAAAGATCTTTTAAAATAATATTTTTTAAATTATGGTTCAATAACACTTGTCTAAGCATTATATTAAAAATAATCATTTATCAAAGTTTAACTGTGGATTCACAAGTAAAAATCTATTATTGTATATTTCTTATATTTAGTAATCAAGTATACATCAGTGTCTTAGAATAAAATGGTACTATTTTACCCTAAAATATTATTTTCTCCTTCTCTAGTGTGTATCTACAAGGGTGTGTGGGGGGATGCTGGCTATAAGTAGGAAGAGAGTGAGATCCCACGACAGACAGCCATTTAGTGAAGCCTAATGCTATATAAGGAAAGATATGTCCTTGATGGACCCAGATGATTTCATTCCCTCCAAAAATATTCATAAGATGAGGTGTTAATGCTTACTCTGAATTAAAAAATAAAAATCCGACCATATTCAGTAAATCACACTAATCTTTATTTTCTTTCCAGATTTCATACCTGATAAATTGGTCTGAAATGGCTGGGGTTTTTATCTGAATAAGTCCTTGAAGCCATCTCAGAAGGTCTGCATCCAGGTAAATGTCTTACACCTATAGCATTGTACGAGATGTGATCAAAATATATGTTGAATGTTTAAATTAAAAAAAAAATTATTACAGTAAAAAGTCACCTTGCCATTAATACCCCTCAAAATGCTCCCCCTTACTTTGAACGCAGTTATCTCATTGTTCTTGCCACTTCCTGAGGCAGTTCTGGAAGTCCTCTTTCATGAGTGTCATTAGTTGTGCTGTCGTGGCTGCTTGATGTCCTGAATCGTTTTGACTTTGGGGAAGAGCCAGAAGTTGCACGGTGCCAGATCTGGTGAATAAGGTGGATGAGGACACACTGTGATGTTTTCACTTGACAGAAATTGCCATATACCAGAAGCGATGTGTGACATGGAGCGTTGTCATCATGGAGGATGATTTACAGCACACTTTAAAACACACCTTTTCTCAACCGTAGCTCACACCTGACTGACTGCACTGAACAAGTTGAAACTTGTCAAACACTGTTACTAAAGTTCGACCTGTCACTTCCTGTATTGAAGACCCCTGCCTTTCTGTTGGACGGCACTTGACAGCAGCATTCACCATATTTTGTGATCACACCTCGTATCTGTCAGTAGTTTTTTGTAATATGTCAACAGCGGAGGTAGCACAAAAGCCACAAAGACCATTATCTAGTGACAGAAACAGAATGAGCAGAAAAGAAGGGAATTCCAGTCTTATCCCATTCCTTCCAATATACAGCTTAAGAACACATATGTATTTTTATATGATATTAGATACAAGCAGGGTCAGAATTACCAAGATGTGCCCGTGTCGGAGCTGACCCAAGTGAGAGATGTGCGGTGCCTGTGACGCTGCTCTGAGCAGAGCTCTCCACACGGCACAGCACAGGCCTTTAGGAGGGAAGTGACCATGCTCTCTCATCAGCCACGAAATGGAAGGCTTGGCCTTTGTGGGGCCCCAGCACTTACTTTTAGAAGCACGGAAACCTCAAAACGTGACCTGCTCGCTTTCTGAAAACCCAGATGTCTCAGTCTCATTCTTACAAACGTCTCCCTTACTCCAGTACGATACAGGGAAAATGGCACTATGAAACTGGAAATAGAGGTACCCCTTTATCCCCATGCAGGCTTGCCCCCTGCTAGGCATGAGTCCCATGGAGTCACACAGCAGGGCACTCCACTCAGAACCTGACAGGGCAGCCAGTGACTCTCTGGTCCACCTGCTGTCATATGGGCTTGTAGGATAATTTTCATAAAACAACTCCAGGATTGACCTAGCTCGCAAGATTTTTTTTTTCCCCCTGATAAAACTCAATTCAAAGAATAAACTCTCAGCTTCCCAAATTAACAGTGGAGACACTCTCTAATCCCTCCAGGGAGGATGAAAAGAGTAGCCTGCCCACTTCTGAATGCGTGTGATTGTATTTTATAAAAGTAGAAGATAGATAGGGATAACTGGTGGGTGGGTAGACAAATGTTGAGGTGAGTTTATTATTTGCTCCATTGGCAAGTTAGGAAACACTTGCTGGAGGGCACTCCACTGTGGTGTTAGGAAACTATTTAGGACTGCTTTAATCTTGGAGACAAAAATAGCAACATTCCACAGAGTTCTGTCACTGGAAATCTTTAGGTGTCTTTTTTTTTTTTTTTTGAGGTGCAGTTAAGCCTAGGAAGCTGGACTGTGCATGTTTTCACCAAAAATCCAGCTCTAGATAAAATGCATGAATCTATATGTGCTAGCTAGGAAGCCACTAAGACCGGAAGTTTTATTTTACATCCTAGGAGTCCTGCTAGAAGGCGCTGTTTGTCTGTAATACCCCTCCAGCGTTGCTGTGGGCAAAGCAGGGCAGTAATGGGGGCGTCCTGCTGCTATGATTCTCCGGGCCGGCACCCTCCTACACTTTGGAAGCCTGCAGTTTCTGACTAACACTGACACATTTGTAGCAAAACTTGCAAAGTAATATGACATTTTGCTTGCAAATAGCAAAACACTGAAGAAAACATTCTGTAAAATTTTAAACTTTTTTCAAACTTTGGAATTTCAGATGAATACACAAAACATGCTTAATTCTAAGAAAAATTGTTAAAGGACTTATGTTTGTTAAAGAATTGATACTATACAAATACTGCCATTAATGAGCAATTTTGCCTTTGGTTTCCTATAAAATAATCTCCAAGGCCCCATCCCAATCCATGGGCACTATATTGAAATACAAAAAGTGTTTTCAGAAGGACCTTCTGAACTTTGTAATGTTCCTTTACCCAATTTATGACTGCAGAACTCTGATCGCTCATTGATTTAAGCCAGTAATGTGTAAACAGCATTTCAAACCTTGTTTTATAGAACCAAAAGAATTTAGGTTAAAATCTAACAAAATGGGGAAAACTGTCCCAATCAAAGACATTTAAAAACATAAGAACCAAACTGCTCCATATGCTTAAAATGTTTTAAAAAACTTACAGCAATACCATTGGAGAGAAAACAGGTATAACATAACTCTATACAGAACAAAAATGTCAACCTCTGAACAAAAATGTCAACCTCTGAACAAAATTCTTTTCAAGAGGTATCCGCAACAAACCATTCAGAACAGAGCCATTCCTTGGGAAATGGAGTCTCCTTCGCATGACTATTATCAATCTAATGATATCTAGAACCATCTAAATTTAACGCAGAATCATCTTGGAGTTCGCCTACCTGGAACTTCCAGTTATAGAGAAGATGACCCCAAGCCATGCAGGCAGGGGCTTGCCCAGAGCCATGTAGGCAGTTCCAGGTCCCCTGGCTCCAGGTCCACGCTCCTTCCATCTCATCACATTATGCTCCCGGCATGTGGCCCCAAACTACATGGACGTCATCCAAGGAGCTTCCAAAAATTCAGATGTCGGTGCTCTACCCCAGATTTGTAATTTACTCACTTGACGTATAGCCTGGGCTCTGAAATTTTAAAAAGATTCCCAAGTGATTCTAGTATGCAGATATGTTTGGGAACGTCTCAGATAAAACTTATGAGATAGAAGAATTCCCTGTAAGTTCCTGCCCTTTTTAAAAACCAATAATTATAGTCCTATTAGTGAGTATCATTTTTGGCTGCTTTTAATTTCTAACAACCTATCCCTAAGATCTTCTAGTTTACTGTTTCCAATCTATTGTGGGCTTTGAAACAAACTGCTAACCAAACCTGTTAAAACTAGCTATAAAATAAAAATAAATCTGTGCTGATTGAGAATCAGATTCCTTCATCTGTATATACTTTGGTATAGTTATTTTACTTTCTTAGATGCCTTTGTTAGGTACAGCCATTTTTGGGAAACAGGCAATTTCTTATAAACTTAAATAAATGCTTAACAACCCACCTACGCTACTTGTAGGTATTTACCTAGGAAACATTCAAATATATATTCACACAAAGACCTGAAAATGAATGTTTATAACAACGTCATTCATAATCACCAAAAACTGGAAACAATCCAAACATCCACCAACAGGGACATGGGAAAAGAAACCATGCTCCATCCATACAATAACATCCCACTTGGCAATGGAAAGGAGCAAACTAGGATTACACTGAGAGGGAGATGCAGACAGAAAGCGCTACATACTTTGTGATTCTATTTATATGACATTCTGGAGAAGGAGAAACTACTGTGACAGAAATCAGTCAGTGACTGCCAGGGACTGGGGCAGGGAAGAGGGGATGACTAAACGGGGTACAAGGGAATCGTGGGGGTGATGAAAATATTCTGTATATTGATTGTAGTGGTCATTACACAACTGGATGCATTTTTCAAAATTATTATCAAATAATACGCCTGGTGAATTTTACTGTATGTAAACTATACTTCAATAAACTTGACTTTAAATTTTTTTAAAAGTATTTTATGTACTCTTCTAAAGTTACAGGATCTTGTTTTCTTAAAAACTGTGAAAAGAAGTACACACAATTATATAGAGATAATATATGGCTGTTGGCTTTTTACCTTCATCATTGAATAAGAAAAACTAGAGATGATGTAAGATTATTTTTATAGGCTAATATTTCTTCCTTACTCTTTATATTGTTAAGATTTTATTTTTCCTACAATGATAGATATGTCTCAATTGTAGTGGCCAAAGCTGATTTATGGGTTTTTAGGCAATTGGAGAGCGAAGCAAAATAAATCTTAGACCACTTATTTCTTCTTTTCTTTTTTTATGGGACTGTACAAGATATTAGAAGTCTCCATTTTTATTTCCAAATTATATATGTCACAGATAACAGTAGTTTGTTTTAAATTTTAAATAATATAATCACCCCCTGTTATAGTATATTCTTAAAGTTCTTAGTCACTATTTTTCCACTAATATGATCTCATTATTAAAACTTCAGTTTCCTTTACTTTCCAGTCACCTATACCTTGCAGTTCAATTACATTTGGCTCCTGGATTAATAGTCATGTGTTACACAAGGCAAAAAATTAAAAACAAATTTGTCTTTGAATCATTGAAGTATCAAGGATTTGAAATAACTACATAACTAGCTGTGAGACAGGCACATAAATATCCAGCCAATATTCCTTTTATACATTTGATAGTATCATTTTTCATTGAAATCACAAATAATAGAAGTTTTGACCCAATTTGGAAGTGTCAAATATGAATCCTTGAGTCTTACCAATGAAAAAAAGGCAAAATAAACATTTGCCATTTGTAGGATTTTTCAATAAACAAAAATATAGCTTTTTTTCCTAGTTTACTCCAAATCATCTATTATTCACACAGTTTATCTACAGAAACATTGTTCCTAGGCTTGAATAATATAGGTAGATATGCTTAGCACATAACTGTCTATTTAGGAGATTCTAACTTAAATTATATTACTATTAATCATTTTAATAATTAAAAGGGCTCAGAGAATTAGCCTCTAAATTTAGAGGCTCTGTTTTGTTGGCAGGAAGAGTTTTTGACTAGTATCAAAAGTGATGGCATCCTCTCCTTAAACTAGTTAGTAATCCCTTTTAAGTCTTTCAGGAAGATTTAGA